CTTCTCATCGCTGCCAGTAACCCAAAGCTAGTTAAAAAGAGCCGCCCTCTCCCCCCTCAACCCACCCCAGGCTGCCTGGACTCACACCTGCACTTCTGACAGCTCCCTGGAAACTGGAGCCCCACACTTCATTTTATAGATCAATTAGACCAAGGGCGATTAACAGAGAACACACTCTGCCACCCCCTTCACACTGCATTGACTACTACTGCCAGAAACCGGGGTCACCTACCTCCACCTTCCCTATATCACTGCCAGAAACCGGGGTCACCTACCTCCACCTTCACCATATATCACTGCCAGAAACTGGGGTCACCTACCTATACCTTCCCTATATCACTGCAGAAACCGGGGTCACCTACCTCCACCTTCACCATATATCACTGCCAGAAACTGGGGTCACCTACCTATACCTTCCCTATATCACTGCAGAAACCTGGGTCACCTACCTCCACCTTCCCTGTATCACTGCCAGAAACCGGGGTCACCTACCTCAATCTTCCCTATATCATTGCCAGAAACCTGGGTCACCTACCTCCACCTTCCCTATATCACTGCCAGAAACTGGGGTCACCTACCTCCACCTTCCCTATATCACTGCCAGAAACCAGGGTCTACCTCCACCTTCTCTATATCACAGCCAGAAACCAAGGTCACCTACCTCCACCTTCCCTGTATCACTGCCAGAAACTGAGGTCACCTATCTCCACCTTCCCTATATCACAGCTAGAGACTGGGATCACCTACCTCCAGAAACCGAGGTCACCAATCTCCACCTTCCCTATATCACAGCTAGAGACTGGGATCACCTACCTCCATTTTCTCTATATTAATGCAAGAGACTGGGGTCACCTACCTCCACCTTCCCTATATCACTGCAATTAACTACGGTCACCTACCTTCGTCTGCTCTATATTACTGCCACAGACTGGGGTAATTTACCTTAATCTCCTCTATATTACAGTCATAGACTCAAGTCACCTACCTCCATCTTCTCTAAATTACTGCTACAGACTGGGGTCACCTACCTCCACCTTCCTATATCACTGCCAGAGACTGAGGTCACCTACCTCCACCTTCCTTATATCGCTGCCAAAGACTGGGATCATCTACCTCCATGTTCTCTATATCGCTGCCAGGGATTGGGATCACCTACCTCCACCTTCCCTGTATCACTGCCAGAAACTGGGATCACCTACCTCCACCTTCCCTGTATCACTGCCAGAAAGGGGGGTCACCTACCTCCACCTTCCCTGTATCACTGCCAGAAAGGGGGGGGTCACCTACCTCCACCTTCCCTATATCACAGCCAGAAATTGGGGTCACCTACCTCCACCTTCCCTATATCACTGCCAGAAACTGGGGTCACCTACCTCCACCTTCCCTATATCACTGCCAGAAACTGGGGTTATCTACCTCCACCTTCCCTGTATCACTGCCAGAAAGGGGGGTCACCTACCTCCACCTTCCCTATATCACAGTCAGAAATCGGGGTCACCTACCTCCACCTTCCCTATATCACTGCCAGAAACTGGGGTCACCTACCTCCACCTTCCCTATATCACTGCCAGAAACTGGGGTTATATACCTCCACCTTCCCTACATCACTGCCAGAAACTGGGGTTATCTACCTCCACCTTCCCTATATCACTGCCAGAAACCGGGGTCATCTACCTCCACCTCCTCTATATTACTGCCACAGACTGGGGTTATTTACCTTCATCTCCTCTATACTACAGTCATAGACTCAAGTCATCTACCTCCATCTTCTATAAATTACTGCTACAGACTGGGGTCACCTACCTCCACCTTCCTATATCACTGCCAGAGACTGAGGTCACCTATCTCCACATTCCTTATATCGCTGCCAGAGACTGGCATCACCTAGCTCCACGTTCCCTATATCGCTGCTAGAGACTGGGATCACCTACCTCCACCTTCCTTGTATCACTGCCAGAAACTGGGATTACCTACCTCCACCTTCCCTGTATCACTGCCAGAAAGGGGGGTCACCTACCTCCACCTCCCCTATATCACAGCCAGAAAGCGGGGTCACCTACCTCCACCTTCCTTATTTCACTGCCAGAAACTGGGGTCACTTACCTTCATCTCCTCTATATTACAGTCATAGACTCTATCTACTCAATTACTGCTACAGACTAGATCTACTCTAAATTACTGCTACAGACTGGGGTCACTTACCTTCATCTCCTCTATATTACAGTCATAGACACAAGTCACCTACCTCCATCTACTCTAAATTACTGCTACAGACTGGGGTCACTTACCTTCATCTCCTCTATATTACTGCCAGAGACTGGGGTCACCTACCTCCACCTTCCCTGTATTGCTGCCAGAGACTGGGATCACCTACCTTCACATTCCATATATCACTGCCAGAGACCTTGGTCACCTACCTCCTCCTTCCTGATATCACTGCAATAGACTAGGGTCAGCTACCTTCATCTCCTCTGTATTACTGCCACAGACTGAGGTCACTTACCTTCATCTCCTCTATATTACAGTCATAGACTCAAGTCACCTACCTCCATCTTCTCTAAATTACTGCTACAGACTGGGTCACCTACCTTCATTTCCTCTATATTACTGTCACAGACTGGGGTCACCTACCTTCATCTCTTCTATATTACTGTCATAGGCTCAAGTAACCTATATTACTGTGCAGTGACCAGGAACACCTACCTACCGAGATAAGAGATACCTACCTCAGTCTCCTCTATATTTTACATAGAGATTAGGGTCATTTTAGTGACATTTATTACAACCTTCTCTAGATTAATGCACAGTGGAGAGATCAGGCAACCTACCTCAACCTTCTTGCTCCAGAGAGATTAGGGACACCGACCTTAGCATCCTCTATAATAATACAGAAAGATTAGGAAACCTACTTCAACCTCCTCTATACTACTGCAGACACCTACCTCTACCTACCTACCTATAGTATTACACAGAGATATGGAAACCTACATCAGCCTACTTTATATTACTAAATAGGAAATCTACCAGCCCCACTATGAAAGGTTACAAATCTGTCTTTAAATTTGTGCTGTATAAAATAATGTGTTGTTTTTAAAGCTTTTGTCTGGTTTAGTAGAAGGGTTAAGAGTTTATTCCACAGAATTTTCTCCACATTTTTGTCACTCTGAATGTCAACCGGTGGGATTGGTTGGATCTTGCGTCTCTATTTGGCCATGATTACATGTCCTGTTTTGAATGGCTGGCCTTGCGTCCAAACCCCAGCAGATACAACCATCTTGGAAGAACATCAGATATTTTGCTGTAAAATGAGTAAGAATGCGTGAATTAAAAAAAAGAATTGAGGACGAAAAGTGAAAAGTTCAGGATTGGTCTTGATGAAGCAGCAAGAGACACAAATATAGCCAGAGAAGTCCGATGAAAGTAGACATTTATTTAAAAATGGACAGAGCAACTGATACAGACAGAGATAGACTCGCCATTGCTAGAGATTCTTGGTGTATTAAATAGATTTAGCAGAGCAACGAGAGATGAATGACGCCAGTGGGGCTGTCAAAGATTTTAGACAAATTCAAGGGCTGCTGCTTAGCATAATTTCCTTGAGCAGGAGCGTGACTATAACAGTGATGTCTCGTCTAGCGGATTATTCACTGAATCAGAAATTATCGACTGGGAAATGGCAAATTATAGTTCCAGATTGGTGAGCTTGAAAAACAGTTGTGTTGGACAATCTTTCCAATTTCGCTGTTTTGGAATCAAAATATATTTCCCTTAGCACATTTCTACAAATCCACTTTCATGTTCTTGGTCTACTTGTTGAGGTGGAATAATGGTAATTGTTGGAACATCTGTCTAGTGTTGCAGAATTGATATACTTTTCCTACTTTTATTTTACAATTTGTAAAGCATAGTTGTTACTCCTGGTTACCAGACCCACTTAATACTCTAGTCTACACTACATAGTTTCAAGCGTGCGGAATGCTAACATAATGTGTCAGTCTGGTTACGGATCTGAAAGTATGCTTCCAGAAGCTCTGCATAAGAATTCTACAAGAAGTTACTTCTCTGTGAAACTCCTCCTATGTGCCATGTGAAAGGAACACTCTCACCCCCATAAAAACGTCAGCTTATTTAAGTTGTTATACAGGCAGGAGTGCCTTTGTGCCATTTTACCTACAGGGGTTAAACCATTTACAACAGTTTAATCCCAAAGTTGGTCCCCCAGTACCCAACACAGCTTCCTCCAGCTTCCTTCCTCTCTTTCTGCTGCGGTATGAGGAAGATATACCTGGGTGGGCAGTATTAGCTAACACTCTTAGCTTATCATTGGTTGCGCAATGAGGGAAAGAGTACATATGGGAAGTGGAGGTAAGAGGTCTGTTGAAGCCACAAGGTTCTACATGAAGATGTTAGGTTTAACTTCCAAATCTCTGATGCCACACTCTAGATTAGAAGAGTGGACATGTGAACTCATTACTATCTACATCCTGTTGGGACCATCTTTCTTACTCTCCATTATTGATAAATCTACTCACTGTCTATGCCGCCTGTCCCTATAAACCACTGGTCACGTAGGTACAACACTGTGGCTACCCATCATATTCATAGTTAGGATGTCTGATGGCCTGGAGTCCTCTTCTTTTTTTTCTCTTTTGAAGTAATTTTAAATGGTCTAAAAAAGAACATGGCTTCCATCTATGTGGACATCCATTACAAGTAACTGGACAGCATGAAAACATATTTGGGAGGATCCTTTTTTTTTCACGTGGCCCCATCAAGTGTACAAAGTTAAATGAAAGTAATCCACATTCTTTACTATGGTAACAGTTGAATTCATTGGCAGTCATACAAGCACTTTTGCCGTCTTCTCACACAGCACAAAACTACAAGAGTACAATCTGGAGATTTATGGATATCGCACCCTTTCCAGCGGGTCTACCCTCCTCTCCGCCTCTCTTGTTATGTCACCTGCCGCCTTACTGGAATCATACGTCTCTTCTAAGGGTCAAAAAGAGCAGAGCTGGCTGTTTCTGTGAGTTCCACTGGCCCATTGCCTCCACTTGAAGAAAGAAAGCTACCATGGAGAATTTTTGGATGTTGTGGGAATAAATTACGCCTACGCTTGGATTCTGGTCTAATGCTGGCTTTATCTAACTTAATAAACGCTGAACAACTACAATCCCAAGCGGCAATAAATACACACGTAAGACCGCAATGCCCTCTAAGGTCAATAGTTTCTCACATCATAGTCCCGAACATCTGGTGTAGTCGTCTCCCCACCACAATTCATCTTTACATGCATTCCATGCTGCAATGGTGACAAGACTCACTGATGATGTCCCAAACCTGTCCTAGCAATGTCAAAAGTTACTTTATGAGAACCCTTGCATCTCTTACAGGGGAGGTATCCTGTTATGTCTGGGTTCATGGTGGACCTCTCCCAGCATGTAGAATGTGGTGGAACCACCCAATTCTCATGTGGGTTTCGCTAACCACAAATGAAAGAAAATATATATTCAAGGAGATATACCATATGTGTTAGCTTAAAAGATGGACCACAGACGCCAGTCCAGGATTTTGTTATTTCCCTTAAATGTCTCCAGCTGCAATATTGATTGGATCAATAACAAAGGTAGTGGTATTGCCTCCCTTACCTATAGAACTTTGTGTTATTACACCTCCTGCTGGTCAATGGAATAGACACTTTATTGTCAGCATGTGCCTTCCCACCTACAGAAGTAAGTTGATACCAATTTTAAGGGATACTTAAGACTCCCACACACATTAGATGCACTGTGTAGGTTACAGTTAGTTAAACTGGTTGAGTTTATATTATTACCAGACCTTCCAAGCTCCCAAACACATTAGGTGCACTGTGTAGGTTAGGTTACAGTTAGTTATACTGGGTGGGTTTATATAATTAAAGGGACACTACAGGCTCCCACACACGTTAGGTGCACTGTGTAGGTTAGGTTACAGTTAGTTATACTGGATGGGTTTATATTATTAAAGGAACACTCCAGGCTCCCACACACGTTAGGTGCACCGTGTAGGTTAGGTTACAGTTAGTTATACTGGGCGGTTTTATATTATTAAAGGGACACTCCAGGCTCCCACACACGTTAGATGCACTGTGTAGGTTAGGTTACAGTTAGTTATACTGGGTGGGTTTCTATTATTAAAAGGACACTCCTGGCTCCCACACACGTTAGGTGCACTTTGTTGGTTAAGTTACAGTTAGTTATACTAGGTGGGTTTATATTATTAAAGGGACACTCCAGGCTCCCACACAAGTTAGATGCACTGTGTAGGTTAGGTTACTGTTAGCTATACTGGGTGAGTTTATATTATTAAAGGGACACTCCAGGCTCCTACACGCGTTAGATGCACTGTGCAGGTTACAGTTAGTTATACTGGGCAAGTTTATTTTATTAATGGACACTCCAGGCTCCCACACACGTTAGGTGCACTGTGTAGGTTAGGTTACAGTCAGTGGGACACTCCAGGCTCCCACACACGTTACATGCACTGTGTAGGTTAGGTTACAGTTAGTTATACTGGGTGGGTTTATATTATTAAAGGGACACTCCAGGCTCCCACACACGTTAGGTGCACTGTGTAGGTTAGATTACAGTGAATTATACTGGGTAGGTTTATATTATTAAAGGGACACTCCAGGCTCCCACACATTAGGTGCACTGTGTAGGTTAGGTTACAGTTAGTTATACTGGGTGGGTTTATATTATTAAAGGGACACTCCAGGCTCCCACACGTTAGGTGCACTATGTAGGTTAGGTTACAGTTAGTTATACTGGGTAGGTTTATATTATTAAAGGGACACTCCAGGCTCCCACACGTTAGAGGCACTGTGTAGGTTAGGTTACAGTTAGTTATACTGGGTGGGTTTATATTATTAAAGGGACACTCCAGGCTCCCACACACGTTAGATGCACTGTGTAGGTTAGGTTACAGTTAGTTATACTGGGTAGGTTTATATTATTAAAGGGACACTCCAGGCTCCCACACGTTAGGTGCACTGTGTAGGTTAGGTTACAGTTAGTTATACTGGGTGGGTTTATATTATTAAAGGGACACTCCAGGCTCCCACACGTTAGATGCACTGTGTAGGTTAGGTTACAGTTAGTTATACTGGGTGGGTTTATATTATTAAAGGGACACTCCAGGCTCCCACACACGGTAGGTGTACTGTGTAGGTTAGGTTACAGTTAGTTATACTGGGTGGGTTTATATAATTAAAGGGACACTCCAGGCTCCCACACACATTAGGTGTACTGTGTAGGTTAGGTTACAGTTAGATATACTGGGTGAGCATTTTATATTTCTTCTATAGTTTGTTGAGAGACAGACAGACAGATAGACAGACAAACAGAGAGACAGATAGATAGATAGTCTATCAGAACATTACAGCATTGAAACTGACAGACAGAATAACTCTCACTGATTGAATGTGAGGGAGAAATTGGGGGAGATGAAGGAGACAAGAAGAGGGTGTGAGGGTGAGAACGTGGGAGATAAAAGCCAAGCGCGAGACATGCCATTTATATATATAAACTGAGAACCAGAGGCGTTGGGGAAATATTTATTTAAGGCGAGACGCGTTAATTTCACTAACCAAAACACTGCTCAGTACTCGCTGCTAAAGCCAAGTTCACATTAACCCCTTCTGCCCGCAAGGAACAAGTGTTTACTACTGAAGCTGCCCAAGAACTAATGTAATAATGGAAGATTAACCACGGCGTTTTCTCACTTTTCACTACCAAACGTATTCACTAAAGTGTAAACTGTCAGGAATTTCAACATTTTAGGTCAAGGTGGTAGAAACATAACTGATTTGGATAATTTTTCCAATACAGCTATTTTGGCCTCAAATCTTCATTTCCTGGCAATTCACAAATTCACAAAACTCAAAATTGTAGTGAATTGAAGTCCAAATAGTAAAGTTTGGGGTAAAACAGCCAGGCTGTCATTATGGCAGTCGGGTAATTTTTCCAAAACATCTATTGTTACCGACATATTGTAATTGTAGTTTAGTGAATAAATCCCTGTGTGTGTGTCTGCATTTTATTTCAAAGGCAATTTAATAATTAATCAGCTGGAATATCATTCCACGGTATAGCAGTTTACACTAGAGTAAAACCTCCATCTTTTACGGCCAATAAATCTCCCCTTTGATGAAAGGGCACAGAGCCTGAACGATAATGAGCAAAAAAGAAAAATAAGGCTACTTTGTGAGTAAAAATTGGAATTTCCTTCTCCACGAGCCCAGATTCAGTAAATAAACTCCTATCCCACACACGTCCGTCTCACAACATTCCAAAGAAAGTGTCTCTCTGAGTGGAAGGATAGTCTGCGTTGTGGCACCATGCATCATCAACGGGCAATGAACCCAGTTTAGAAGCTCACTTATTTTCAATATCTAATAAAGCCAATTTCTTACACAAACTGAAAACGGTTTTCACTTTAATTCCCCGTTTCAGATGAGAGTCTGCGGTGGTTCTAATACTAAACACAAGCTATTTTTTATTTTTGCAGGTGATTATTTTGTAAAGATAGCACTCATTTTGACAAAGTGACAAGGGCATATGCCTCAGCTTCATATGCGATATATGGTGTCCCTTTAAATAACATGTTTCGGGGATGAAGGTGTCAAACCTCTCTGTGCCAGCAGAGTCTGGGAAGGGATTTGGTGCTTGTTTGAAATCTCCATATAATATTTACCTAAATCGAAAGATGGATGAAATGACTTCAGAGCCCGAGAGGGAAGGAAGAGTCTGGAATGGGGGCATTACTAGTTTGTAGCTCATAGCATACCAGGAATATAACCTCTAAGGCTATAGAGCTGGTAACTCTAGGACTGTACAAATCAGAGTCTACAATACAGAACTTTAGTAAACTGAAAAACAAATCCCAAAGTGTTAGGCTAGAATAGTCAAACTGTAATTATAACTCCAAATCAGCTATTTTGTCTACATTAAGTTTACATCTTTCTAGAATTCTATGTTTAGCAAATAAACTCCATAATATTCTGTACAGATTGTGTATTAATTGCTTTCATTAGGATAGTGACTCTAAAACTTGGGCTAAGGGCTCCTTCAAAGTGTCTGAGCTGGACCCAAAACATTTAAAGTGGCCCTGTCACCTTCTGGGGACTTTGCACTTTTTACTTCCGGCGTGGTGGCCCAGGGGTGCGGGGTTTCTACTTACCTTGGTCCCTCGTGGCCGCCACCATCTCCTTATTCGAGGTCCTTTTCAGGTCCTGGCACTTCTCATGCCAGGAGCAGACGTCCTCGCTGTACTCTCATGCATGCCGTCTCATGGGACCCTCCACAGACAGAGTATTTTCCCCCTGGCTTGACAAAAGGTAGGTCTGCCCTTTATTGAGCTTTGTCAAGTGGAGGAGAAACTGGGTTAAAATTTTAGTGAAATTCCAAAACAGTCTTTATGAGCATTTCAAAAAGATTTAATGTTTACGAAGGTTTACAAACTGTTCCAAATGTAAATTAGGGTTATACACACAGAGGATAATTTATTAAATTTGGAATTGTGGAGAATTCACGAGCGAATTGCACATTTTAGACCAAAATATCAAGCTTGGAAAAATTGCTGATTTGGAGAAATGTTCATGTTTACCTATTCCAGCCTAAAATTTTTATTTCTTTGTCAATTCTTCACAATTAAGTTTTTAGTAAATATAGCCCATACTTCCTCAACCTATTCACTAAAGAGATAAATCAAAGTGAATTCAAAGTGAATTTAGAATTTAAGGTCAAATTAGTCGAATTAGAAAGAGTCGGCTGTGCTTTCAGTTTTGCTCCTCTGGCCTTAAATTTGAAATTCAAGTTGAATTCTCATTTCATTGACTAAGACTGTATGTCTCACTATCCCTACGTTGACTAACCTGCAGCTTTTTGGCTTCAAGAAGGCACAAGACCAGGAGAGACACTTTTTTCCAACCCCGCTCTAGGCTGATTACCAATATAAGATATATTTATTTTACTATCACACCATCTAGCAAACCATATTGCATTTAACCATTTCTGTCACCTACCACGTCAGAGAGCCGTTTTGCCGAGACTAGCCGGATATCAGCAGATGCTTTGGAAGGAGAAAAGCTATCAAATTTTTCATTTCACGTGTCATGGGTTAGTGCTTGTCAGTTATTTGCAGGTCACTCTGACTAAT